AATTTTATGGGTTTTGGGGGCTGAAACTGGATCATACCAAACCTACAAAATTTTCAGTTGCTAGACTTGTTCTATCTAGCTCATTCTTGGTTGAAATTCTTGATCCGAACTTGACCATTAAAACTGTTGTTATAGCCACCAAAAAAAAAAAAAACCAAACCAGCTGCAACTACCAATCCAAATCCAATTCGAATTATAAGTTCCTTCAATTTCGACAGCTTGTGGTTAATTCTTATTAGAAAAAAATTCTGAGTCTGGCCTTGATATTGATTTAAAGAGTATCCAGAAATTGAACCTTGTTTGTGTCTTGGAGGATTGAGTCTACTGAACCAATTACAAATAGAAAACAACCATAATTCTTTATCCAAATTACAATTCAGATTACAAGTTTGAATCCGAAAGCTGTTGTAATCCAATTTCGTTTGGAATTCATTGAAACCAGTCTTGAAAACCTTAAACCATTGGGACAAGGGAATCAAACCAGATTTGTTCCAAGGTAAACAGTCCAAATAAATTCCAGATTTGCACAAATTCTTGAACTAGTGTCGGGTAACCATTGTTCCAATTGTTTTGCATCAAGTTCTTAATTTTTCTTGGTGTTGTTAGTTAGCTTTCTTTTCCAGTAGTGTCCAGCCATAAATTTCAGTCTTAGAGTCCAGGAAATAAACATCTGAACTTCAATAGCTTAGGACTAAATTTTGACACAAATTTTCAGCTTTACTAAGTGTTGAAAATTTCAATTTGTTGGCATCTTTTTGCTAGAGTTTGTGTCGCATTCTTACTAGAGTATTGAGTCGATAGTTCTAATCTTTTTTCAGTAGTTGTACACTTAAATTCCAGTAATTCTAGTGTTACACATATCTCCAAAGTCCAACTTGTCAAAGTACTAAAAAATTTCAGATTCTTAGTCGCTTATTAAACTAGTTTGTTGAGTCACTTCAACTAGTTGAAAGTTGTTACTTCCAGCTTTACTCTAGTAAATTTCCAGCCTCCTTGTTGTCCCAAAAGTCGAGTTTTTCATCCCAAATTTTCAGAAATTCATGTCATTTCTTTGATTCATCAAGTACAATCGTTAGTTGGCTACACCAAGGGGCTTGATAGTAGAGCTTGAATTCAAACATTTTGAAAGTGATTCTACGCTATTCAATACCCTAACTGATATGAGCATGGAGTCTCAAAGTTTGGAGTTATTTCTTCCCCGTTTCTCACTAAAAGTGCTGCTCAAATTCGTTTGGAAGAAAGATTTTTGTGGACCGAATTTTCCAGCTTATGGAGTTATTAGTTTAGTCATTAGTTAGTCTTTAATTTGGGTCAATTAGTGGTTAATAAAATGGGCTAGATTTAAACTTGAAGCCGATCTTAGCAAGGGTAAAGTGTTCCGAACTAGTTAAGTTGTTTGACCTAGTTTCGTTAGGAGTTTTGTAACGAAACAATAAAACATCTTTTTTCCTCTTTCGATAATAGAGTACGATTTCAGTGAACATCGTTCTTGAGAGAATTCCTCTGTTTGGCTCTACGAGCTTTCCTTGAACATCTAGAGTCGTCTAGTGTTCAATTTCGGCTTATCAATTAAGAATAACATCTTTGATTGTGGCGACATTTAACAAATTCCTAGGGTTTGCTAATTTGTTTGGTTGTAGGTCAAGAAAGTTAGCAATCATAGGGATTAGAGGGGTCCGGGGTAAGAAATTCCACCCAATTCAAACCTGTGAATATCACCATCGTTTCGAGTCATTGTCGCGATTCTCATTATCAATGGGATTCATATCAATAAGTCAATAGCACATGGTAATTATTTATCGTAAATTGTATCCAATCTTTTTGAAAATTGTTTTTTGACATGTTTAAGCTTGAAATAAGCATAATTTTGCAAGTGTCTATTTGTTGTTTTACAATGTTTTCTATTTGGGGCATTGAACATCATTTTTTTTGGTAAACCCCGTGCACGGGGGTAGGATGCTAGCCCAACTTTAATTAGAAGAAATAAAAAATACATAGCGAGGGACCACACCTTACCTCTAGCCTATGAGACCGATTAGACAAAGTTATCATCTATGTCTTCCCCTACGAAAACTAGGACAACCCCACTTATATAAAGTAACATCTCCTCTAACCATGCGGGGAAGGGTAAGGAAGGAATCATAAACGAACGGCTCTCCAGAATCAGCCCCAACCTTAGAAAGTGTATCCACAGGTTTATTCGCCTCTCGAAAGCAGTGTGAGATCTCTCTATAATGATGGCTATACTGCAACAATTCTTGTAACTCCTGCTACACCACCCATGGACACTTAGCTCTCCCCTAGATAATGTGGATAAGAACAAATGAGTCAGACTCCAAATGTAAATTGGTCAGTCCCCAAGCTACTCCTAACTGCACCCCATGGAGTAACGCCCTCATTTCTGTTTGTAAACCAGTCATCTCTCCAAAATAACAAGAAAAAGCTAACAGGAACCTCCCATCACTATCTCGGAACAGACCTCCCCCTCCACTCCTCCCAGAATTACCCCTCAAACACCCATCTGAGTTTAATTTCACCACCGCATGCAACGGATATTTCCATCTAACCGTCAACATATTCACAGACATTCTCAACCCAGCTACCACATCCGGGAGATCAGACCACGACCTAGGCATACTCACCCCTTGAAAATGAGTGCCAAAACTCTCGTGAAGTTAATTAACAATTCGACCACAAACTTGTGTCACAGTCGCTACCCTCCCTTCAAAGACAAACTTATTTCTCGTTTTCCATAAGTTCCAACAAATCAAGGCGGGCAAAATTCGAAACAAGAATCAAATATACATAGTTCGACCAGATTTCAACCACCAAGCAATCACCTTATTCCTTATCGTGATAGCTCCCCAAAACCCTCCGATCGACATTTCAAAGAAACCCTAGACCTATCTAGCAAACTCACCAATGCAAAAGATATGGTTAATAGTTTCCTAAGAAGAATGCCAACAGCAAAAACAACGAGACGGGCCGACCACACCAAACTTATGCAGTACATCCATAACCGGTAGCCGACCATTCATCAATCGTACCATAAAAAAGGAAATTTTCAAAGGCAAGACCCGATGCCATCAAAAGGAGAAGAGAATAGAACTATTACCACCTTGTCGCACAACCTGATATGCCGATGCTATAGAAAACTCACCCGAGTTAGTTGGATACTAAATCATTTTGTCTACCTGATCCGAAGAAGGAGGAGCTGCCTCCAAGACCCTGTGCACCCAACTCGTAGGCAACACATCATATAACCTCTGCCAATCACAGCAATCTTGAACCACAAACTTCGAAACCGATTGTTCCTGGAAAGTTTCCACCTCTTGACATAGCGGCCCTGATCCTAACCAATTATCGTGCCAAAAACTAGAATTTTCGCTACCCAATATCCATTGTATATTCCTCTCCGCCACCACCTGAACGTCCATCATCCTTCTCCAAGTGGCAGATTGCCATGGACACATCTCGGAATAACACGGATGCAAATTGGGATTATACTTCAAGCACATGAACTCTGCCCATAATGATTGTTGCAGCCTAAACCTCCACCACAACTTCAGAGAAAAAGTAGCAAAAACATGGTGCAATGATCGTAGACCCACACCTCCCTCCCTATTTGATCCAGTGAATACATGGCCCAAACTCTGAAGCACCCTATAAAAAGTTTGCAAAAATATTCTCCAATATCTTGGAAATCCCCTTAGGAGGATTGGAAGCCGCAAGAATATGGATAGGCATCAATGACAGCACACTCCGTATCAAGACCAATTTGCCGCCATCTGATAAGAATCTCTTTTTCCACGAAAGCACCCTATTAACCACTGAAGTACATACAGCCGAAAAGTAACTTTTTTTTCTGTCTCCCAATGTATAATGGACACCCAAGATACTTTACTGGAAAGGATTGTGTGTGAAAACCCGTAGTTTGTGCAATAATATGCTTTTGCACACCCAAGATATTAGCATGAGACAAAAAGCAGCTCTTACTATGATTGACCTTCTGTCCCGAGACTATCTCATAATCCTCCAACGCCTTCATAATCAGCCATAATTACTTCTTTATTCCACTAGAAAAAATAATAACATCATCTGCATAAGCTAAATGGGCAACAACTGGGCACCCTAATGGAACCTTAAAAGGCACAAAATCCTGTCGCCCAATCAAGGAATTCAACAGTCGAGACAAGACTTCAGCACCTATGACAAAGAGAGATGGCGAGAGCAGATCCCCTTGGCAAATATCCCGACTAGATTTAAAAAACCTTGGGGCACACCATTAATAATAACTGAGAACCAAATATTCGAAATCAGCCTCCAAACCATATCTATCCAAACCTCACTAAACCCGAACCTTCTGAGCACTTGCAATAGGAAAAGCTAGGACACTCTATCGTACGCCTTGGCCATGTCTAGCTTTAAGACAATATTACCCCCCGATTAGACTTCCCTATACCCGACACTATTTCCTGAGCTAATAGAAAATTGTCAAAAATCTGTCTATCTTTAACAAAATCACTCTGTTGAAGTGAGATAATACAAGGCAACATCTTAGCCAATCTAACAGCCAGAATTTTAGACATAACCTTATCCTTATTAATAAAATTACACAAACTTATCGGCCAGAATTGACTAAATTCTTGAGGAGCACTTACCTTCGGGATAAGCACCACCAGCGTCGCAGTAATGCTCTTCGGCACCTCAACTCCATAGAAAAAATTGCCCACCGCCTTATAGACATCCTTGGCCACCACGTCCCAAGCAAATGAAAAGAATCTCCCGGTAAAACTGTCTAGCCCAGCGGTACTCTCACCATCCATTGCAAACACAACCTCTCAAACCTCCTCCAAAGAAGGAACACGCACCAGATCCTCATTTTGATCATGAGATATTATTTTAGGAATGACACCCAATATATCCCATGACCGCAAACAAGGCTCAGCTGTAAACAAGCTCTCAAAGAAATGGACCGCCTCTGTTGCAATCTGACTTTTCTATGTTAACCAAACCCTATTGGCATCCTTAATACGATGAATTATTGACCTGGCTCTTCCCTTTGCAACTATAGAGTGGAAATACTTTGTGTTCCTATCCCCATCCTGCAACCATTTAGCTCTTGCCTTTTGCTTCCAAAATTCCTCCTTTACAAACAAAGCATTCCTAAGTACCGCTTGAGCTTCTTGCAATGCTAACAACTTCGGCTCAGGGGGATCATCGTCAAAGAGAGCTTCTGCCAATGACGCCCGCTCCTCAGCAACTTGCACTGCATCAAAAATATTTCCAAACTGCTCACGTGACCAACTTTGTATATGTTTTTAACCTGACGCAATTTACTAGCCAATCGCTGCAATAGCGGTCCTGGAAATAACCCTTCCCACCCTCTTCGAATCACCTCCAGTAACTCTGGCTTAAACGTCCAAAAATTCAGAAATCGGAACGCTCTTGACTTATTGTCAAGCCTAGTTATGGCCGATAGCACCAGGGGAGCATGATCTGAAGAATCTCTCCCTAAATGATGCACCTGAAAGTTAAAAGGTAAGGCAGCGGCCCCCTGGTTAAAGAGCATTCGATCTAGTCGCGTCCAAATACGGGTTCTCCCTCCTCTATTATTGCACCATGTAAATCTGGAACCTGAGAAACCAGCATCTTGTACACCTACCCTAGCCATAAACGAAATAAAATCCAACCCCTCCTCCGGTCGAAATGGTAACCCACCTCTCTTTTCCTCCTCGCTAACAATCACATTAAAATCCCGTACTAGAAACCATGGAAGAGCCAACGGGTTATCGACTAACAACGCCGCCCAAAGCAAAGCTCTTTTTTGCCAGTATACTTTGCATGGACAAATGAGAAGACCATCGGCTCAGAGAGCAATGAATATAGAATTAAGGGTTCACCCTTTTCATTTTTTAAGTTAGCGTGAATCAGGGTTTTTAGTGCGACTATCCGGTACGAAGTGTGGATCAAGTTTGGTGATTAAAAGTGAGTTTTAGATGATATTAAGTGTGGGATTAGAGGTGATAATAATAAGTTAGTAAATTATAAGTTAAAACCCTATTATATGCAATTTAAGGAAAATCGGCTCGAACCGATGGGTATCACTCACTACCGATTGACCACACCACTTGACTACTACTTCCTCACCATAAAATATCATTGATATTGGTGCAAAATATCTCCCTCATCCTCAACCCTCTTAGCTGAAATATTTGACCAAAAAAATGCAAGGAAAAGAAAAAATTTGAGATGGATTTTGGATGCGACAAGTGGCAACCATCCCTTAAGTGTTGACCAACCAATTTTCCTCCATATTTATCATCAAAAAACACACAAATTGCCCTCATTTTCTTCCTCCTATCCGTGAATAAGAGAGAGAGAGAGTAAGAGAAAAACAACTTCACTTCATCTTGATTTGCACCATTTGAGTGAAAAAAATAAGATTCTAAACCGATTAACATGTAAATTGGAAGTTTGGGAAGCTTAGGGAACTAAAAATTTCAAGGGGAAGTGAAGGAGAACACTAGCAAGCTCTAGTTTTGAGGTAAAAGGGCTGACCACTCTTTTCTTTTTCCCTTAATCATGTTGGAGTTGTTTAGTAACTTGTATTTGTGATTGTGATGCTTAAATCAAGAGATTTTGGATGATTGGGGTGATGCATTTGAATTAGGGTTTAAATGATTTCCTTCTCATACTTGTTGTATGGATGGTATATGATGTATACAAGCTTGTATATGAGGTGGTAGTGATGGTTTTAAACTAGAAATGAGATTTATACCTTGATTGTAGCAAATTTCCAGAATTGAAGTTAAGGTATACCCTGTACTGCCCGGTTCTAGTTTGCTATGATAGAGGCCGAATTGGGATTATCCTGAAACATGAAAGTTGTATAGAATAATTTTTTATAGTTTCCTGCAAAATTTCAGCCCAATCGGAGCAATGTACCCTGTGAAAAGACCGAAATACCCTGACTGCCCTAAGTGAATCCAGTGATCAGTTTTGGATATTTCACTAATTTGGTTGTGTCTTTTCACCATGATATGTACTGAACTAGTATTTATCCAAAACATGAAAATTGTAGTACTATGTCTTAGTTTTCCAACGCCCCTAAGCATGCCTTAATCGGACTTCGGTAGCTTGAGTTATGGCCATTTGAATGTAGTGCAGTTAACTAGCTTGTTGGTAGGAATCCGGTTCTGTAAATTGGGAATATGACTTGGATACACTAGAAACTGGACTAAGTGGTCTTCATCGAAATTGTAGCCCTCTGTCTTAGATTCAAAACGGTATAAGTTGTATCTCAATCCGATAAGCGTAGCCTCGGTTGTGTCCATTACGCAAAACAACGTCAAATCTGTCTTTTGTTTTTTGACGCAAACTTCATTTCCGCACATGTTCCTAGCTTGGTTTGGTACTTGTATGCTGTTGAGCCTATTGAACGGCTTTGGAAATGAGATGATTTTATGTATGAATTTGAGTTTGTTTGAGGAAAACTTGAAGCCATAAATGGCTGGAAAATAGGTAAATATAAAGGGCGTGCTACCCAAATTTACGCTTAAGGACTAGGTAGAAACACTTGCGACTCGAGTAAAACTTGAGAGCGAATATGTGACGACCCCACCTCCCCCTAAGGCGAACCAGAGGATTCGGCGGGCCGCCTGCCCGGCTCTCGCCGGGACTCAGTCGTTCACTAAAGTCCTCAAATGAATTACAAGAATAAACCTCAAATATACATCACATGGTCCACAAATATACATCCAAGTCTCCAATAATTACATGTCACAAATGCAGCGGAAACTAATTCCCAACTATACATCAAATGATTCCAAATCCAAATTGTACAAAATATAGGCCATCCATTCACGTGAATAAGCACAACAAGTCCTTCGTTCGCCTTGAGCCCTGTGGAGGGGGAAAAATATTTTTTTGGGGTGAGCTAGAAGCTCAGCGAGTAACCAGAAAAATCAGTAATCAAATAGGTTTCACAATAGTTCATTTCAATGATGTCATATATCAATGATGTCATAAATCAAATGATAAGTCCAGAAACAACTACAACAGTTGCAAAACAGTAAATATGGAGTATCAATAATTCAAGAAACATTTACAATGGAAAGCGATAGTAACATTCATGAAAAAGATAAGTTCGTTCTCCTGACATTTCCTCCTTCCTTCAAACTTTTGAAAAATGCATTTTCTTTTCTTTTATAAATAAACCCCTCGCTCATTTGGTCATTCATTTCATTCACCAAACTCCACCAACCTCCACCAACCTACAAAGGTAATACTCGAGTATACCAAACGTTCACCCAAGTCCCTAATCGCCCGACCGAGACCATTTCTGGCTCAAGACGACCGGTAACAAGAGGCAATGGCCAGTTCAGCCCAAAAGGCTTACATCATGCGCAACTAGCATTTCAATAATTAAATCCTTGAAAATTGCACAGCTATTTAGGTCAAGTGCGATAAAGTACACACTCGCCTAGAAAGCTCGTTTTGGAAATCATTCAAAGCACTTAACACGTTATCAATCAATAATACAAGTCATGAAGTCAAGAAAATATAGCAAATAAGGAACACTCACATGCAAGCACGTATGATATGCAAGAAAACAGTTCAAAAGTAACTTTGGAAACAGTTTAAAGGTAAATAATGCAAGAAAACGGTACAAAAGTAACGTTGGAAACAGTTCACAAGTAAATAATGCAGGAAACGGTTCATAAATAACTTCAGAAATAGTTTGAGGTCACGCACCTCCATGGCTCAGAAATCATCCATCATATAACATTGCCTTGCTCAAATCCAAGTCTTAGATCACAAACTCAAAGCAATCAAACCCTTCAAAACTTCGGACAGCACTTCCCCTAAATTTGCTTACTTTCCCAGCCATCATGGCTTCATTATTTCTTCAGCCAGTCCCAAAGGTACACACACAACAACAAGTTCATCCAATAGCCATTCAGCAAGCTCCAAGTAGTACTAGTACAAGTCAAGTTAGGAAAAAGTCTGGAAATGAAAGTTAATCTCAAAACCAGAAAAACAGTTTTGATGTCATTTTACGGTAATGGTACCAAAGGTGCTACGATTGTCGGATGAAGGTACAAGACCCACCGTTTCGAAGCTAAGAGATAGGGGTACAATATTACAGAAGGTCACTCAACCCAGTTTTGAGTGTAACCAGGTCGAAAAATGCAAGATACCATACCAGAATCACAAAAACAGATTCACAAAACGCATTCTAGCGGAAACATCATAAATCAGGCTATCCAAGTCCAAATCCAGAAATTCCAAAACCATCTGAAAGCTAAGAAACAGGGTTAAATTTCATCAGAAGCCTCAACAACTAATTCGGAAGCAATTCCAGCCAAAACAACCAATTACAGACGCACTTCTCAATTTCGGGTAAAACCAGAACAGCAATAGTAATTTCGACTTTTCTCATTCCACACTACTCCGATTGACCTGAAATTTTGTAGGCACCTTTAAAATGTCATTCCCTACAACTTTCATGTTTTAAGCCAAGGCCAATTCGGCCTCTATCTATGAGCTATAAATTCGGACAGAATGAAGAACATTGAAACCTAGTTTTCCACTTTTCCTTCCAAAACAGAAATTGATTGCAATTAATCACTTTTTCCACCTCCTAGAGTCATTAAACATCATTTCCAATCATCATACATGACCCCATAATCATATCCATATGAAAACAGAAAAATCCCCAAAAATAATAAAACTTCGTCATTTTCAACCAAAATCAGGAAATCAACCATAAAATCACTTATTCAACCACCACCAATCACTAATTGAACATTATCAAGATCAAAGGAAAGGTTCCTTAGTCACTTACCTTACAAACCCAAGAAAAGACCCAACTTAGCACCTTTGCTTCTCAAACCACTTCACTACACACCTTAATACTACCAAGAGAAAGGTTTTTATGGAGCAAATCCAAGTTTAATCGGTTAAATTGTTTGATTGGAGCAAGAAATGAAGAAGTAAGATGAAAGATTTCCTTTCTTTTCTCCTTGTGAAGCTCAGCCAAGATGATGAAGAATGAAGGTAATTTTGGATCAATTTGGTACTTATTTGGTAAAGGTAGTAAGATGGTCAAATGTCAAAGTCCAACCTTCAATAACAAGGTGACACTTGTCACCCTTTAAGCTTGAGATTATCTTCTTGTCTCTCCAAGACAAATATCTTAACACCTTGTAAAATAATATCACTTAATACAAAATTCTAACAAGTTGTCAAAAATATAATGCATTTACCGCACTTGCGGGTCCCAAGTTCAAAATACGCTCTTAATTTCTCAAAAACTAACCGATACTAGAAAAATCATTTTAAAACTATCTTTGCTCATAAACTTTATTTGGGGAATTTTTCTAATCAAGAAAATGTAGAAAAGGCGGGCGATTAAAAAAAATAAACCCTAGAAAATTAGAAAATTTCCGAGTTCTTAAACTCATTTTTGTTCGCGGCGTCACAGAATACCATGTGAACCACCTAAGATATTTGCATCTTCTT